AAGAGGATCGCCGTTCTGGTGGCGGCAATCAGGCCGTTGGGTGTTGTGAGTTCATGCTGTACCTTATTCCTCTGTGCTTACGCGTTGCAGGAGGCACCCCTCTTACCTCATCTCTCAGTGCTAGGCAACTCTTCAAGCGAACGTGTAGTTTTGTTGCTCTCCCATCATGGGTGTGAAGCCATGAGGTGCGCGCAAGTGTGCTCAGTGAAGGACTTGAGTTAATACATCTGCAAAACGTGCAGCCAGGGCTCCGCTAGTTGTGCAGAGACTCTCGTTCAAGGTGTTATTACTCTGATTGTCTGCACGGCGCTACGTTCCTTGTCACAGGCAACAGGGGGACTGACGGCGTCCCGGTACTGCAGGCCTGCCAGGTCACAGGCTGGCGCGTTCGCACAGGCTGCGTTCACTGGGGATTTCAACGTCAGTGCCAAACCGCACTGCTGGGGCGTGGGGATGTGCTGTGCTCTGCCAGCACCGCTGTGGGCAGCAGCGAACTCCAGCAGGCAAGCGGTAAGGTCTCAGCCCCCCGCCGCAGTTTGCTCAATGAACTTGATCAAGGGGAAGTTTTGTGGCTGGCCCCACTTGGTCTCGCTTGTATTAGTGCGTATTAGGCCCCCAGAGGTGTGTGACTGGGCGCTAAGAATCGGTCAGGGGGGTTAGGCGTTTCTGTTGCAACTGCAGGGACAAGTGCAAAGCCGAGTTTACGACTGAACCTGCCCGAGTCTCTGTACTTCTTACATATGCAATCCACGTTGGCAGAACACTAATACGTATCAAGTGTTTTAAGAGGTAGGGATCAAACGTGGTTAAGTTTGCTTTCGTGATCTTAGATTGCTTCCTTGCATTTAGTTACGACGTGGGAGTCTGAGTTCTTGCTTTCAACTCAAGGTGAGACCTGCTCAGGTAATGTGTAGTGAATGAACTCTTCTTGACTGCAGCATCTTGCCATCTTGCAGGAAATGGAAGGTGTGGTGCAAATGAGTTGGGATTGCAGGGGGAAAGAAGGGCAGCCTTCATCTGAGGCCACACTGGATGCATGAAGTTGTCTAATTACATAAGCTGACTGAAAACTTGTGCAACGCACAGATGAATGAGAAAAGTGTGTGTGATTATCAGATCTTGCAAAGGAGGCAGAGGAGGGAGGGAGAGCAGAGCCATGCTTTAAATGGCAGCCTGCAGTTAGATCAGATTTAATAAGATACTGGGAAACGGTACGATTAAATTACGTCCCTTCTTCCAAAGATGCTATTAGAGTCTAATCAGATTATTTAGATCACTTTCACTACTGGTTATGAACTGCACGTAGCTTAGTTTCTGAGCCTTAAGATTGATGGTGTGATTTACAAAAGTATTGCGCATTTAGGGCACGGTTACGTGTGGTTTTTTTTTTTTAATGGCAATTTTCTGGGCTATTTTTTCCTCCATCTTTCCTGTTTACTGAGAGTTGAACGGATGCAATTAGCAAAAGAAGGTGGTAAGAAGTAATCTTGAGACCCATGAACAATTGTACTGGTTTGAAGAAATGGTGTTTAGTTAGGTAATGAATAAGGTGGGACACGGATGGATTGAGAGCGGCTTTGAGCAGCTTTGCTGCTGACGAAGATTTGCATGAAACCAAGGCTGTAACCTGCCTTAGAGCAACCAAATCTTCCTCAGTGGGAGAGAAAGGCAATACTTCAAACTTTGCAGGTTTCCATTTTCTATCTATTCTTGAATTTAAATGCAAAAAAAAAAAAATCATATTATCCTGAACTTTTTGGAAATAGCTATAAGATGCTAATCTAGATAGATTTCTTGTGTACTTGAATCGAAACCACATAAACTGAATTTACCATGTCATTGCTGATTACAGTTACTAAACTACTTTATTTTTAGGTAACTATAGGCCGAGGATTAGATCTCACGTACCAGCTGGTGTCAAAAACCTGTCCCTTGATGATCTCTCGTAAGCACTGTGTTTTCCAGCAAAATGCAGAAGGGCAGTGGACTGTCAAGGATAACAAGGTACAGAGACCGATTAAAGACCTTGTGCTCTGAGAGTCACTGAAGAGAATTCCCTGTTTGGGCTCAAACAATGTATGGGCTATGATATTATATGGTATAAGTGCGATCGAAGGTCCGTGGGAGTGTGTCCTGTCTGTTGTGCACTTCCAGCAGGAAGCTTCAGTCTGCAGCAGTTGGGATGCAAACCTTATTGCTTTCTGTATGTAGATTTGTCTCTTGGTTTAGCATTTTTCAGACAAGTGTAGTCTCGCCAAGGGCACTTTGCAGTCTGTGAACCTGTTTTGTGTTACTCTCTTAAAAAAAAAAAAAAAATCCTATGAATTTTGGCCGTATTCAAAAGGATAACGTTCTTGTACTGCTAATGAAAGGATAAACTGATACTCCTTATTGTAGTGACACAATTGCTTTAATTGTAATCAACTATAACAAGAATCTGTTGTTAGAAAAACCATGCTTCATGTTATGTTCCAATGAGTTTCTTCTGAAAGTCCTCCTCAGCTGGTTAGAATAAAGTGCTGCCATCAGAGTCCTCAGCTATGTCTCACTTTGACTTCAGTAATGTGTGGGGTTTTTTTAATATCATGATCTCTGCACTTTCTCATTCAGGCTGAAAAGTGTAAAATCAGTAACTTGCTTTAAAACAGCAGTGGTAGAACAAAAAGTGTTCAACATGTCATGCATGTTTGAAGGATGCTTGGGGTCAACAGCAGACTAGTCAGAAAAGAATGGAGTGGCTGCTATTAAAATTACACTGCTCTTAAACAGAACTGTTGCAGAACTTACATAAACTTGCAAAACTTAGAGTTTTTGCATGATTGGAAACATCTATGGGAGATTAGCTACTAGTACTTCCTCTGTGTTATCACTGCTACCATTTTGTCAAGTTGTTTTATTGAATCTCTTTGAGATACATCAATTGTTAATGATTCTGCAGTTCATCTTGAGCACAGATCAGTTTTGCTGTTTTTCAAAACTATTTCTTGAGCTAGTGCCTAATTTAAAACCCCTTTTTCTGCTTTGAACATTATCTCTAGAAGAGCATTTTCCTTCTTGTTTATATTCTCCTTGTATTTATGTAGAACTGTCTCTTTTTTTTCTTTAAGCAGTATAAACTGTGCTCCTTTTTCTTTTCTAGTTTCTTCTTGGATTTCAGGTGACATTAATTGTCAAGAATAATTACTGCAATATTCTATGTTCTTGACAATGATCTATTGCGGAGTCTTTTCTTTCTGTTGGTTAGTTCTTACTTCTTCTGAAGCTTTTGGGCTGTTTTTTTCCCCTTAGTGTTCATTCTTTTCCTTCTGCACAAGTGCATATATTAACGTTGTTCTTAGAGCTTGTACACAAAATCTGTAATGCAGGAATAATGCATGGTAAATAATACAATGCAGTAACTGTAACAAATGGGACACTAAGCCAAAAAATTGGATATTGCAAGGTTTATTTAAAGAGGTAGCTTGTTCTGGTTGCAACGCTGAAGAGGCTGGATATGTTTACAGTTGCCAGAAATAACTTGCAGAGGACTCTGTAACTGCATATTAAATTTTGCTGATTCTCTGTTCATTTGCAGAGTCTAAATGGAGTCTGGCTTAATAAACAGCGCCTGGATCCCTCAAAAGCCTATCCTATCGCTGAAGGAGACCGTATCCAGTTGGGAGTGCCTTTGGAAAACAAAGACACTGCTGAATATGAGTATGAAGTAATTAAAGAGGAGTGGGAGAAAATCAGACCCTTTTTAGCCCAAAGGAATGACCTGGGGAAAGCTAAGAGTTCAAGAACTAAACGTAAATTTAGTTTGGAGGAATTGGAGACTTCTGGATCAGAAGGCCCTTCAAACTCCAAATCCAAAAGAGACAGAGTGTCCCGTGACAATGAACCTTTGGGTAAGTCATGGGGCAGGGTAGAAGAGGCCAAACAGTTAACAGAGAGGATGGATGTCAAGCTGCCTCCTCCTGGACCAAGTGAGGAGGATAGTAGTCCAGCGCGTAGTAGCCCTGTACACTCCGAGAAAGCCGTGCCTGTCCCCCATAAGGACCAGAAAGGCTCTGGTCTTGCACAGTCATGGACTGGCTTGGAAATGCTGAGGAAAACTCTAGTAGATATAATGAAGTTAAAGGTCAAAGTGCAGGAGAAGCAGGCAGCCGTTCTGAACGTGAAGCAGAAGCGCAGGAAGTGTGCTCAGAAGGAGATCCTGGCAATGGAGCAGGAGCTGCGGGAGCTGCAGGACCAGCTGTGTGTGGAACAAGAGCATCATCAGCAGCAGGTGGAAGAGCTGGAGAGGTCATTTTCTAAAGAGCAGCAGAAGCTAGAGGTATAATGGTGGTAATCTTTTTGGCCTGTGTCTTTTCATTTTTATGGAATGCCTGATACAAGACATTGATCCAAAATAAGATTTTGAACCATACAGTTACACAAATAATGTTTGTGTAAATTACTCCTGTTAAAATTGTCATGGAAGTGTTTCACTTCCAGGCATGTGAACCAAAAGAAAGTGCAAAGACAGAAGGGATTGGGCTGCATGGGGAATTAGGAAAAAGGCGCAAAATAATTTTTAAAATTTTTTACAAACTGGTTCATTAGAGCAAGATAGTATAGCATTTCAGTTAGTAAAAAAGCGTGTTTTTAAATAAAAAATCAAAAGTCTCCGCCTGATCATTTGTGGTTACAGAGAGGACAAGTTGAAAAGTATTCGCCTTAAGTGTGAATTTCTCTCAGTATATGGCTGAACTAATACCCAGCTTGCATGGCAAATCCATTCCCTTTCCAAGCAAGTGAATTATTGTATGCCTTAATCCCTGGAAGGAGGGAGGTTTTTTTTTTTTTTACTTTCAAAAAACCCTTTCTTGCAATGTGCCTTCAAGCATTAGATCTATGTTGATAAGCAACTTTTTTAGATAACAACTGAAGTCTTTCTATTTGAGTTTGCTCAAAATCTGGTTTAAAGGAAGTAAGAATTCATCTTGGAGTGAGTTTCATAATTTATCAGTTACTTCCTTTAAAGTCTGCTGCTAAAGGCAAGATACCTGTATCAGAAGTACAGAAAGTCTGGAGTTGTATGATTAGGCACAAGGGGAAGTTCGGCTGGAGCTGTAGGTATGTCTGACCTCTTTGTGCTCAAAGATAGATTTGCAGCTTTTTCTCATGTTTAAGCTGTTGCTGACCTCTTTGCTTCTGTGAACGTGCCAGTGCCTTTAGAGCTAGAATAACATGGAGAACATGGAGGTGTTCCAAGTATGTAACTGTAAATGATATATCCATTTTAACTCTTCACAGTAAATGATAACTCTAATTTCTGTCGTACACGTGTAACACTAGAGTGGGACAGCTCAGGGTTTGGTGAAAACCAGCGTTGTTTCTTTAAGCATATCCTCTAAAGGGAGTGCGCAAAGTAGTCATTTTCTGTCCCTTGATTTCTTCAGGTTTGTTTTCTTTTATTTTCCCCACCAGGGAGTAAAGTGGCAACACGGGGAAGAGAATCTGAAGGAGCAGCTGGCCCAGGTCCTGCAAGAGGCAAGTAGTTATGAGTCTAGGTTTGGTCTAACTGTGTAACTCAGATACTGAAATCTTTCTTACTGCTGTGGCCTCTTGGTAGAAGATGAGGACTTTGCCTTAGGTGCAGATTGGATGATCTTCGTCTACAGACCGAATTTCTGTCAGAAAGTGGCAGACCTCGCTTTGTGGGAGTTGCTATTTGTCAGCAAATATTGTAAGAATATGCACTCAGATTGAAAGCATTAAGTAGCTGCAATGATTTTTTTTTTTTAATTTGAATTTGGTCCTAGGGCTGGTAGGCTTTTTTGTGAGGTCTGTCTGCTGGGTATCTGTTTTAGGGAAGTTGTTTTGGCAATTTTAACCAGATGGAAAAAAATTCACTCTTGGTTAAGAATGTTTTTGAAAGAGATTGAAACACACTTAGGTTTCCTGGGCTTTTTCCAAAAGGCCTTTCCTTTTGGAAAGCTAATCTGAAAACAGCTTCAGGTAACCCTGCATATAGTGACAGGTTTTTGTGATCCTTATGTGTCAAATACCCCTTGATACTCAAATGTCTCAGATGCACTCAAAATGGTGACCGTAAAACCTAACGGAAATGAAAGAGTAACCTGGGAGAGGGGAATAAGAAGTGCCATGATCTGGGAAGGTCATAAATAACTGGCACTACATTCCAATTTTAAGTTAAGGCTAAACTGCCTTAACACTCCAATTTATATAGACATGTGTTGCTCTTTTAGGAGGAGATTAGGAGAAATGAGTATGCTGAACCTCATGATTACGGCCATGTATATTTAATAGGATAGCTGATAATGGCACTCTTATAATTTCTGGGATGGTATTGTTACAGCATCATGCTTTGATGGAAGAACTGAGCCGCAGTAAAAAAGATTTTGAGGAGATAATTCGAGCTAAGAATAAAGAACTGGAAGAAACCAAGGTAAGGAATAACTGAATTCTCAGTTTTATTTATAAGTGAAACACGATACGCTGCAGCAGAGGAAGTGGTTTATTTAACATTTGTCTTGACTGTACTTTGCCTCCTATAGTGAAAAACTCCTGGATTTTGAAGTGGCAGATGACCCTAGTTTCCAGGATTGGGGGAGGGTACACCTTGCCCTGTTCATAAAGTAGTGTTGAACAGTCATTACAAGATCTTTCTCAATCATAAAGAAAGCCCAGAGCACCTGAGCTGTGTGTTGTGCAGGAGAAGTGGGCCAATTCCACCCTTTCTTAAAAAAAAAAAAAAAAAAAA